ATTTTCGTTATTTATAAAATTTTTTAAACATAGAGTTTATTCTTATAAAATACTTGTATTAATTATTAGCGAAATAAAGACTTAGTGATTCCAATATGATTGCTAACTATAATAGATAAGCGATAAAAAAGTGAAATGACCAATTTGTATTTTCTTTTTTTATATATGTAAGTAATGGATTTTATATAAATGTAAAAATTTAACTTATTCATTTTATTATTTTTGTATATATTTTAGTTTTTTCTGTATTTTTAAACGTGTTTTTTTTTTGTTTAAAATATTCAACAGAATTAAGTATATATATATATATATATATATATATATATATATATATATGTGTGTGTGTTTTGGGAAAATTAACTTTTTTTCTATTAACTTATATAGCTAAAAAAATTATTCAAATTATTCTATCACAAGGAAATTAACTGTACATCATATATATATATATTTTTTTTTTCCTCTTTTCGAAGTAAAATAAGATTACGCAAAATTAATCTGTAATTAATCTCATAATGTACATGTATTAAATTTTAATTATTTAGAATAAATCAAAAACAGAGATTCAGGAATTAATTTTTAAAATAATAATTCAATCGAACTGAAGTATTTTATTCATTTGGATTCCAATAAAAGTAAAACATCTATAAATGAACGAATTGTAAAATTATAAGAATTTAATGAAGAATCTGTTATTTATTCAATCAAATTAGTTTTCAAAAATATTTATCAGAAAGCTTGATAGAGAATTTTGTTGAAAAATCGTTTCGTTAAAGTGACAATATTGCTTAACTATAGATGAAATACACAATATATTAGATAATACATTGTAATAATATAACAATATATTAATTTAACAATAAGTGTTAATAATAAATATAATTTAAAAATACATATTTTTTAATTTGTATTATATAAAAAAATCATAAATAATTGATATATTTATTAACATTATAGATAATTCAACTATTACTTTTAAGTTAAACTAATGCAAATTTTATTTGAGAATCTATAAATTATGTTTTATCAGTAAACGATGTTCATATATAGATTTATAAGAAAATGACTTGGTAAATTTTATTCTTATATTTGTAATTTATATATTATATTATACATAAAAGAAATTATACTTGTGCATTTTTTATTATATTTATCAATTAAAGTAAAGATGTATATGTAATTCGATTATCCATATTCGTTTATAAAATATGTCTATCTCTCCCGAATGCCAGAAAATATTAAGAATTTCTTTGGTTTAATAAATAAAAACAAAATTTATGCTAATAATTCGTAAAATTATTATTAATGAAGTCATGCTAAATGTATTTGCGTGCTTAGGTTGTTAGTATATTAATGCGAATAGAATTTTTGTTGCTCGGATCTAAATATTAATTTAATCGATTAAAAGATAATAATTAGAGTTAACGAATGTTAAAATTATTTCTAGATAAAATTAGAAAATGAAAATATATAAAACAAATGAAACATTGTAAATTACAATCTTGTCGATATATATTTGCTCTGTAATATAGAAATAAAAATATAAAGAAATTTATGACAATAATAATTGAATAGAATTGGAACAAAAGTGAATCACTATTTATTAAAAGATAGCATTAGATATCAAAGGTAAAAGAAAAAATTTTCTTGTCCTTCCTTTATGAACGTAACGCGATAGACGCAAAGTAAATTTGCCTAAGGTAAATACTTTAAAGATATTAGACCTACAAATAGGACTAGTAAAAAGAATTTTTCTCCAAAAAATTATTGTTAATTATAACAAAGCATAATTGATTGATCGATAGTTCATTGATAGCTTATTTTTATAAAAATATTGTATATATTTAAATTGTAATAAATTTCCAAATAAATGTTTCAAATATTCTTTTGATTTAATGGAAAAATAAATAAAAATTCATTTAACATTATGTTAATATTCTGTTAGTATATCTGTTTAAATATTTTGCCATCTTTGGTTTAATTTTAACATAATGATAACATTATGAAAAATCACTTATATGGCAAACTAATTATTCAATTCATTGCATTAGCTTCTTTAAACGGTAACAGTTACAACAAAAAATATTATAAAACTGTACACACTCATACTTGCATATTTTTATATTATGTTTCTGTAGTCATTATGTAATCATATTTAATAATAGTTGTAAATGTAATACATAAATTTAAAAATTACTCTTTTTTTGATAAGGTTATTTTTCAATTATTATGCCTATTATCTTGATGATTAATATTAATAGACATATGAAATTATTAATTCTTGAATGAATAAATATTTTGCATTAAATTAGGTATTTTACTTAAAGATTTATGTCTTATTAAATCTACATTTGAAATACATTATTTTATATATTATTAATTATTGATCGAATTTGCATTTAGTATTTAATGGATGAATAAACCAATTGTTATCGGACATATTTATTTTAATTGAGGTGACTTGAATTTAATATTTACAGTATTATGTAGGACCAAATTTTCATATATTTTTTGTAGAAAAACACGAAGTAAAATTTAGTAAAACTGTTTTTTGCATTTAACTATTATTTACTTTACTTTTCTTCGCCTTAAATGTAATTAATATTTTTCTATGGATATATCCATAATAATCGTAGTAAAATAAAAAATTTTTCATTCTAAAATAGTTCAGTTTCAATACAAAATTTACCCACCCCTGTTTGAACGCCATAAAGCTAAATGTTTTATAAAAAAAAAATTATTACGTGAATTTCCTAATCCCTCAGTAGGTTACAATCTTATGATTATTAAACTAAATTTGTTTAATTATCTGTTTATATATTACAATACTTGTAAAAATAATTTGTATTATATTAGATTTGACTGTATGTACGTGTTACAGAAACTTAGAATTATGAAGGAAAATAAAGATTGTAATATAAATATTATTCTGTTTATTTTGGAATGTATTTCTTAAATTTGTTTTAAAATTTGTTTTAAAATTTGTTTTAATATTTGACATACAAACTTTTCTTGATGCAATTGAAGACTACGAATGTAAAGTAATTCCAACCGTTACATGTATTAATAATCGCACAGAATTTTTAATAATTTTACTTTTATATTTAAAAATATAGATTCCATTTTTTTTTTTATTGTAACTTTTATCTCATATATATATATAAAGTATTTCAGTTACACAATTATTTATTTTTAAGAATATACTTTAATTTATGCGAGGAAAGTATATTCATGCATGGAATTGTATGTAGCTATGTAAATTTATAAATCTAAAATCAGATAATAGTCAAATAGAGTAGTATTAAAAAAATTAAGAAAATTTAAAAAAAAATAACGAACTAAAAATTAATGCATATATAGCTAAAATGCATTGCACTAATATTTAAGGAAAATGTATTGTAGTGTAATTTAATCGATTAAAAATGAAATAGCACATAAGAATGATATAACTAATTAAATGTAAATTATTCTTAGTTATATACAATAGATCCTATTTCAAGTCATTTATTTCTTTAAAAATTTGTTAATTTTTATACTTTGATAATATAACTTATATTTTATTTATTTGAATAAATGAAATCTTATAATATGATTACAATAAATTGTACTGTAATGAAATTTTTAATGAAAATTATATCTGACCATTAAAAGATAAAAGATTTTTGTTTATATTTAATTAGAAAATTTCCTAATTACAGAAATGATTAAATGTACTAATATAAATAAATAATTGATTAGGCTTTGTGCTTCTTGGAATTATCCTGTTTCGTTATATCTTTCATTGAATCTCAGTTTTATATATATATATATATATATATATTTTTTTTAAACCTTTTTATTCTTCAATTAATATTAAACCTATACGTTTACCTAAATTATAGAAATTTATATTTATAATTAATTTTTTTCTTTATAATATTACTTATGTTTCACAAGCCAAATGTTTTACATATAAAACAAGAGTAATATAAACTTTTGTTCATCATCTATAATAAAAGTACTGAGAAATACGAAATATTCTAAATCTGTATAATTGAAAGTTACATGGAAACAACTAAGGTTAATAATTATATTATTGACTCTTAAAAATATCTTAATATTAACATTTTGATGTTTGCATTCGTCAGGATTCCCATATACTAATAATTAGAAGGTAAGCTAAATTATTATTCGTTTATCGAATAATTTATAACACAATATAATTGATATTATAATAGTATATGAAATAATAATTCCGATTCCACACAAACACAAATTTTACTTTAACTTTTCTAATACTTTTATTATTTTCGTCTAGACAGTGAAAGACGTGAAAATTATTTTACATATTGAATAATTTTAATTAAGTTAGATAGATAAAAAGTTCGAAAGATAAAAAAAATTGATAAGCTGAAAATGATTTATTCCAGTGGAAAGTTAGTTTAGTTATTTCAATTAGAATGCTGTTAGAAAAACTGAATGTTTATAAATAATTTACCAATTTCGTGTATTTTATTATTTAGTCTGCAATTTCTGATTGTGAATTTTAATTGTAATCTGGAATCGATTGGAAAATATATCATATTGCATAAATATGCATAAATATGTAAAATTAATTGTTTCTTTCAACAGAAGAAATTCTAATATTCAGAGATTGTGATATAGAAATGGTTTTATAAAATTAATAATAAATAAGCCAATACAAGAAAAGTGAAAACAAGCAATTTATCTTTGATAAATTAATCTTAAAAAGCATCATACGCATTGCAAATTCACGTATAATTTATTTTTTCTACTTATACAGACTTGCGGATTACGTAAAAGAGTATAAAAAGATCATATATCATTTTATTTTAAATATATGTAAGTAATGGCTTAGTTAATTAAAAATTAGGATATATAGCTGTAATTATTATCAGATTCAATTAAAATATCTACAACTAAATATTGATATAGATAAGATTTGTAAATATAAGTAGAATATAAATTTTGTGAATTTTCATTTTTCACGTATTGTGATACTTTACTCTTCGATTAGACTCGTTTCCATTCAATTACACAAGACTTTAAAAATGTTGTGCATTTTTCCTCTACTTATTATTGCATATTATCCGGTCGCGTCCATCATATTGCCATATGGTTTTAAGTTAGAACTCGTGCAAACGGTAATAATCAACTTTAAAGTTATGTATTTTATTATATTTATTATTATAATCATTTTCACAAAAATAAATAGTTATTCAGGCATGGCGATCGTACACCAAATAGTCCTCAGAGTTATCCAAATGATCCGTATAATTCTTCAAATTACGATATCTACGGTTATGGTCAATTAACAAACGTAAGAATAACATTTTACATGGAATAAAATTTTTGGTAGTACTGTTTTATTTTTTCATATGAAATATAAATATGTACAACTTAATTACAAAAACTGACTCATCCTTTATTTTACGTCATATTTCTTTTTTTTTTTTTTTTTTTTTTTTTTTTTTTTTTTGTCATAGAAAACAAATAACAAGTATTTAAATGCTGCCATTTACGTGCTATATAACTTCAGTTTATTGCAATTTATATTATTTTCCTATATTAGTTTCTTCTATTATTAGTAGTTTTTTTTTAATTCTAAAACGATAAATTATTAATGATAAGAAATTGTTGATTATTATTTATTTAATTAGTTTATAAAAATTCATACTAACCTCTTTAATGTTTTATGTTATGTAAAATTGTACTGAAATTTCTTAATGATGATATTATTTATAATTTTTCATGATGATTTTAATACTAATAATGGCATTAATTTATTATTAACAAGTAGTTAGTCATATATTTAATTATTTAACGATACAAATATTTCTTTTTTAAGGTGATTACCATTACAAGTTAACAGTATTATTTTACTGTTAAATGCAACAAAAATTTTCTTATATATCTTAGGGTTGAAATTAATTACTTTAAAATCATTTTCTCACAATATTGAATAGTAATTAAAAGCAATATATTTCAACATTTACCAATATGATTTTTAATTTTCAAGGTTATAACAAGTCTTTGTTAAATGTTAAGGACAGTATAGTGTAAACTTAAATAAAAATTTATCTTACTTTAACGGATAAGTATTCATCATAATCAATGTATTGTATGAAGTAATACATAGCATTAAAAATTTTATGAGCAAAAGAATGTTATGCAATAATATTTATTAATAATATTGCATATACAATATTTTACAATGATATATATTATTTAGGATGGACGAAAACGTATGTATGAATTAGGTCAAATGTTTAAACAACGATACGGAGAAATTCTTAGTGAAACATATAAGCCTCAAGATATTTATGCTTATAGTACAGATATAGATCGTACCAAAGCATCTCTGCAATTGGTCCTTGCTGGTCTCTTTCCTCCATCACCACAAGAAACTTGGAATTCACAACTGAAATGGTTACCATTTCCAACTTACTACAATGATGCGAAATTCGATTTTCTTTCAACAACATATTATTGTACCGAGTAAGTTAAAATCTACTATTTTCAATTCGTATAATAATATACTGTTAAATTTATTTTTTAGGCACTTTTATTAAGTACGTTTGCAATTTTTTTTTAATAGAAAAACTATTATACGATAGAGTCAAATTTAAAATTTTCGAAAAATAAAGATATAAGGTTTTTTAATTTAAACATCATATTTAAGAATCGCTAATATTTTATTTAACAGATTCTTTTTAATACTGAAATCATATTTCATTAGAGTTTATTTAATTCTGTATGAATTGAGAGAAAAAAGAATGGATAAAAAATAAAAAATGAAAATAAGATTTATAAATTAACAAGCATAATGATATACAATTTACATTTGTCTGTTCCCTTTTGTAATAATTATTTATTAATTAATATATTTATCTTTCTTTTTAAATAATTATCTAATAATTAAATAATTATCTTTTTTTTTTTTTGTTTTAAATTTGGAATAACAACTACAAATTGGTCTTTAACATTATGTATTAATGATATTATTTAAAGAGTTGAACGAGCTCATAGAAGAGTTGTATCATCATCCGAAGTGCAAAAAAAACTGCTCAACTACAAAAATTTTCTCGAATATATTTCTCAGAGCACTGGTCTTCCATTGGATCCTAACAATGGACTTCATTTATTTAACGCTATTCGAGCACAAGTAAGTAAAAAAATTGATTGTATGAACATATGATAAAAAAAAAAAGTTTATTACACGTTTTACTGTAATATGGTGGATCTTAAAAGCCATGTTCTCTTGCATAGATTAACAATGTTAATTCAGCTATATTGAGTTAATTAATTTTTATAGTTTGCTTAAAATTGACAAACAATGCAATTAATTTAACAATTAATATAGAGCATAATAGTTTATATAATTTATCCGTTATTTTAGCTTAATTGCATAGTAAAAGAAAACTATAATGATAAAGACTAATTTAAAATAGTGTAATTATAATAATTATAATTATAATAATGATCAATTTTTTCATTTTCATAACATCTGTTAAGCGCATATTTTACATAATTAGTCTTTTATCTCATGCGGTAAGAATTAAAAGAAGAAAAAAAAAGGGTTTTTCAAATAATTTTAGCTCTGCCAATTACAGTCATTTACATTATGATTGATTACAAATATTGATTTAATTTCGTTTAATTAAAAAAATGATGTTTAATTATCAATATAATTTACTGCATAGTCTGTCATTCTTGCCATTTATAATGAACGAGAGCATTCGATAATTTCACCTGTAAAAGTTGCTTAACTTTATATTTTCATGCTGAAGTGGTGAACTGGAGTTCCATTCTCTCGACTCCTATTCTCTTTCATGAGTTCTCATTCGCCCCAATTTATCGTCTCGGATAAAATTGAAGTGCACTAATAGAGCTTCGTCTCCTTTTTCCTTTTACTCCTTTTCTCCTGCCTCTTATGAATTTGTTGCAACATGACACGGCATACATAGTTATACATAGCTACAGTATATATTACAAATATACTTGAAATAAAAAGACTATAAATATAGCTTTGAATCGAGCATCTTAGTTGCTTACTTGATGGGGGTTACACTAATACAATAACTTTATACTGTCGTATAAATGAGTTTTTTTTATTTATTTTTTTATTTTTTTTTCCCCCTCCAATACTTTCAAATGTTTCAATTTCTTTAATTTATAAATATTTTTTATCTGATAATTTGAACAATGATATTTACTGAATTACTGAATTATATAAATTACAACACCTTATTTGTAGATATTTAATTGTCAACGCTTACTTTATAATCTGTATTATACTTTTACAAATACTACTACTACCAGTTATAATTAATATTATTTATATTAATATACAAGACAACCTATACTTATTATTGTATACGTATATTATGCGCAGAGAAATTTAAATTTACCGTATCCTCCTTGGTGCTCAGATCAAGTCTTTGAACAACTTAAAGAAATTGCAGCATTTACAATTGAAACTTACACATATACAAATGAATTGAGAAGTTTAGTAGCTGGACCAACCATAAAACGATTTTTAACAAATATCGAAAATAATGAATTAAAAACTGATAAAAGGAAGATGTATCTGTACAGTGCTCATGATACGAACATTAATACGATATTGGGATCATTTAATTTTTATCAAAACATCCCACTTGCTGATTATGGCACAGCATTAATAATTGAAAAGCTAAAAGGACAAGACGAAAATACTTATATTAGAGTAAGTACATCTAATCCAAATAACCAGCATCATTTGCTCATATTATTATTTATTATTCATTGAATATTCATTCTGTATATATATATATATATATGTGTGTGTGTGTGTGTTTTTTTTGTAGTTACTTTTGTATTCAAGTATCGATAAGACTTTAACTCCGTTAGTATTAAAATCATGCACTGAAATATGTCCGCTATCAATGTTCATAAATATGATGAATAAAATTGCTCCTGACAATCCTAAGTGTCTATACGCAAATGCCCGAAGAAACGTTGAACATCTTATTAATGGGACAATAAAAAATGATGATTATAACAAATTGAAATTGAAGTACAAATAGTCAAATATGTAATAATTTTTTAAATAAAAATGAAATATTTATTTTTTATATATAAAGATATTTTAACTATATATATGTATATACACATACGCGAAACTATATTTAATTAAAATAGATTTAAATTTAATTTAAACATTTATACATCAATTTATTTTTATTTTTCTTAAGTTTAAATATTTTTAATAATATTTAGATTATTTATTTATTAACGCTTTCAACACTAAATACTTTGGAAAAATATAATGTTTTTTTCTTCTTATTATTAATTAAATTATTAATTAATTGTATTATTGAATTACATTAATCAATTTATTATAAAATTTATTCGTTTTATTCGTAGAAACTAAAAAGGGAACTAATATATTTTACAGCATAGTAATACTGTTAATACTTACTAATTGTTTATTATACTTCATATATATTAAGTAAATAGACTATTTTGAAGAGATATTTCCTTAAAATTTAATTGTAGAATAAGCGAAGGTAATTATTGATGTATTTTTTAATCAAATTTAGATTGATATCTTATAATTTGTGTGAATTAATATGTAAGATTATATATAAAAACAAAATTATTTATATTTAAAAATTATGTAGAATTAAAAATTGTGATTTCAATTTCTTAATGTTTTCTTTTCTTCGAGTGTTAATTATATAAAATTATGAGAATAAAAAATTTTTAATTTATTCTCAGCAAATAAGGTTTTTAATTAGAAATTAAATTTTTATGTTGTATTATAAAATTGATCACTTAGTTATTCTCATTCGGTCTGAGATACTTGGGAGCCTACACTTAATTTAAATTGGCCTCGATAATTCTACATCTTACGTATTCTCGAATATTATTATTGAAAATATAAGATAATCATCTGATATTGTTTTTTATATGTAATTGTTCATATCAAATTCTGCATAAAGATCTTTTCTTAATATGTTTGAAATATATTTTAAGAATATACTCTTTAAGTGTTTGCATCTGATATTTTGATAAATGTTTAAAATGCAATGGTAAAGTAACATTTACTTTTAAAGCTGTTTTTACAAAAATTCTTTTAGTATACGCAAGAACGTTATAAAAACGAATGCTTCTGAAGATTTAATTACGCTTACTAGTATTCAACAAGATGCTGTTTTATTAGTTGCTCATATTAGATAATATATTCCTTTTCTTTCAAATTAAAAAGTAAAGTTTAGATAGCGGAAATGATATTGTATATTTTCAATTTACATTATTGATACTTGCTCGTACAATACAAAGTAAGTGGAAAATCACTCACAAAGAATAATAAGAAAATTTAAAGGAAATATTTTGTATGCGAGTGGAATATTACTGATTACAATTGGTACATGTAATTTGCACCTTTATTCAATTTTAACTAAAAACTCAAATTAATAATATTTCACATATTGTTTACAAGATAATATAAACAATGGAAGTTAATCTGCAAATCAGTAAACCTATATAACATATATTATTTAAAGTAAAGTTTCTCACCTATTTTCAAGTATCCTTCTTTTAACGCCATTTCTTTATTATAAAATATTCGTTTTTACACGACATTTAAATGCCTACTTTATTAAATTAAAAATTCACTGTATGTTATATACTGAATTTTGTAATTTACCGCACGAAAACATTACTCTGCTATTATAAAAATATCGACAATGCATATAACAAATAATATGCATTTGATATTGGACATTTATAAGTAGTTTTATATTTTCTTTACATTGATAAAACTTTTTATTGACTCATATGCGTTATGTCGAACTCTATTTATAAGTATCACATAAGACTCGAACAATGTCCATATATCACGAATATACGTTATCAGTTTTAATTATTGCAAAGAAAAACATTAATATATATATATATATATATATAGTTAGAATGAAAAAAATTACTTAAAAAAATATTTATTTTAGTACTTTTTTTTATGTATTATTTTAGATTTGATATAATTTTTTAAAATTTATTTTCACAAATAAGAAAAAAAAAAATATATGTATATATATATATTACACTTCTCTATATCATTAGACATCAATTAGAAAGCTACATGAGACTATGAATAAATTAATTACATTTTATATTAAATACATAATAAATAAATTTACTATTTTATATTAAAAATATCATGCTTATTTAATTGTATTTTGTTTCATTACTTTTTAAAAATGACCATTAATTGTTTAAAAGATAATTAAACTTATAAATTGTTTTTTTTATATCAACATCAAGTGTACAAGTTTTACAAACTGATAGTCTAATTAAATTGAAATATAAATATAAAATACTTTGAAAGGAAAGTAAAAACATTTATAATTTACTGTTAAAATTACAAATTTTGTAATCGTTAGGTGAATTATGTAAGAAATGAAGAATGCACACAAATTATTGATCTTCTGAATTAAAAAATATAGAAAAAACTAACAAAATAAGGCTATAATGTACATATAAATATAATATATCTACTATTTTTTTTATTTATTAACAATATATATTTTTTATATATATTCATGATCCATGAGTAAATTAACTAGTTTTAAAGGTGTATTCTATTATCTTGTAAAGTGTCGGGGAAGCTGACAGGAGTCAAAGACTTATACACAATGGCAACTTAGGTGTATCCTATTGGGTATCAGGTTTTTTCAGCTGCTATTGCTCACACTTGACTAAGCATATTTGCATGGGATAAAGATTGTATTACAGACGAGACGCAGAGCTGAGTAATCCCTATTGCCACCATACCTATTTCAGACATCAAATACTTATAAATTATAAATTCTTGAATTATTTCTGATGATTACTTTATGCTCATTATTTATTTAAATTTTTTTTTACAAAAAAACAAATACAATATTTTATGATGTATAAAGAATCAATTAATTATTCTAGTTGTGTACCTTTGTACCAGTATTATTCAATTATTCATCAGGTATATTTTCTAAACCCTGAAAAAGAAATGGAGACAATATATAGTACATTTTTAGCATTAAAAAGTTTAGGATTAAAAACTACTAACATTAATTCACTACATTAAGAAATGGATATTAAAATTAATTCAAATATTCAGAATTATTTTGTATCTTTTTCATATAATAATATATGAATATAATGTGCTTAAGTAAACGTTTTGGTTGATTCTGTTAAAATTTGTAAGATTTAAGAACTAATTATCAAGCAGAAACTAAATAAAAGAAATAAATTAATAGGCTTATTGGAAAAATATCCATACAAAAGATTTTAACAATACAAGATTTATGGATATAATAATTTTTATATTATAAAACCATGAGTTATTATTGAAATAATTATTAATAAAACTTTCATTATAAGCAAATATACTGAAGGCGACATATTAAAGTTTTATATTAGTTATTATTATTACAACACTATAGAAAATAAAATATTTTTACTATATTCTCTGATCGATTATATTTAGTAGCAATATATTTTAATATTTAAATTGCACTTTATTACTAAAGAAAATTTATATCTTCTAAGGATGAATGCCTTTATTATATTTAATTATTTTTGGGCATTATATATGAAACAAATCATCATATTTAAGGTACTTTTATATTATTTTATGGAAATCTTCAACATTGATGGCTTAGACATTTATAAACAGTAATCAAACTGTATAATTACAAATAAATTAAAATCTATATTTTTAATTAGGTGAATAATATGGCCAAGCACGCGCACTCATATACATAATTCCATTTAAGCAACATACCAGCAAGGGTTCAACCGAATTAAATTAGACCAAAGCATAAAAAATAAACTCAAAATAACAACAAAATATGATACAAATTTTCAATATAATTATTGTAAAATCAATATTACATTAAACATTATTAGCGTTAAATGCTATTAATTAAATTAACTTAATAAATCATATTTTTGAATTTGTCATCATTATCTTTATATAGATTTATAAAAACAGTTATTAATTGAAATTATTTATTTCATAGTTGGCTAAAAATTAATTTTTTATAATTTACTATCTCTATTGATTTAGTAGTTTTTAATATGAATTATATAATTAAACATATATTAATCAACAATAAACATTCGTTGGTTATTTTTTTTTTTAATAAAAATTATATATTCAAAAATATAATATCTTAATATTAATAAATTATTCAATGACAAATGAATAAATAAGTATACTACTGCCAATACGTACTCCTATTCTAAAGTTTCCACCGGTGATCCTTGCATTTCTTTCATCGGTACGAATATACCATAACCTGTTATAATTTCTTCCTTTTGGCTACAAGAAATAAATTTAATAACAATAAATATTAATTAAACCAAAAACTAATCTTATAAAGATTATGTATAATATATATATATATATTATTATAAAACATAATAGATACTTTTAACAAAGTGGATTATTCAATCCTTTAGCTATCATTAAATCATAAGTTACTCTTTCATTTAATAGAAAATAATTAAATTTAGTACTGTGAGAACATCATCATAAAATGTTTAATAAAAAAAAAAGCGATAAAGGAAGTATATTAAATTCTTATATAATAAACTTACGTTCCCCCACGTATACTTCATATGCATCTCAAATAGGTAATTCATAGAGAACATTGCAAAGCCCATAATAAGAGCAGGGGGCAGAATTTCATAAAACATTTGTTTAAATTAACAATAAATAATGTCAGATAAGATAGTTATTCTTGATATATCTTCTAAAAATATGGATGATAAGAATATAAATAATAAGTGGCCATGTACATTACGAAGGTAGAGAGGCTCTTTGAAGCATGCGCAATAGAGATTTAAGGTTATTGGTTATTAAAGGAAAGCTTAATATGAAATGGAAAGCATGAGTAAGTGATAAGGACAATATTACTGATTCTTTGTGATAAGAAACAACTGATAATATTCCGATGATTTATTTTAGAACATATTTTTATATTTGTTGATTGAATAAAAATATAAGATTGTGATTGAAATTTATGCAATTGAAAAATTTTAAATATTAACCAATTTCGTATTCGATTAACAAAACAATCTTAGAAAATTATATAAATTAAAGCTGTATAAGTATTAGTCTAATACACTCAGCCATAGATATTTAAATTATTTATAATTATTTAGAATTATCTTTCACTTCTTAATATACCTTAATTTCATCGTTTCAAGTACTTATAGAATATAACATAAAAATAGTATTCAATTTATAATAAAAATGTTTAAATCTTATGTTTCAACAAATAAAATTTAAGATATATAATATGTTTCATAATTTTATAAATAAAATTATATTAGATTTTAGTTTATTAATAAAATAAGCAACTGTTAAAAAATATTATAAAATATAGAAAGTACGCTGTTTACATGGAAAATAAACATTTTTATTCAATTATCTTTTAAACTGAATTTATTAATATTTTAAATTGAAATTTTACTTATGAAATTGGCGAATAATTATGATTATTACTATTATTATTATTATTATTATTGTTATTATTATTATTATTGTAATATCAATAATTTACCATAAAATATATAGGCTGTGGAATGTACAAGGATCGTTTACTTATGGATGTTTACGTTTTTTTCGGCGAATAGTGTAATGTGTAAAGTGAAAGTAAATATGGAAATATCTAAAACATTTAACATAAAAGGATTTTATACGATTTTTCAACTTACTGATATGCTCATATCATCACTCGTGAGAAGTATTATTCTTACGATAAAATTTATATTACATGTAAATATTAATTAGAGAAGAAAAAAATTTATAATTATAGGTGATATGAAATTCATTTAACCAACACAGATTAGCATACTTTGTGGAATTAGCTGTTTATCGTGTGGTTTTAGTAGACAGAAATTTTTTATTTGATCTTATCAATGATCGTTACAAGAAGGAGAAAACGTAATAAGTGAGACACGGACTCAGTGAGTATCGAAAAAAAGGTACAATTTTCTACGATTTCTAAATTGATTTTCCATTTCAAAATTTTTCTTATATCTTCTTTTGTTTCTCAATAAAGATTACAACACATATGTACTTAAAAAATTTTTATATCTATTTAGAAACGTTATGCTCTGTATTTATATCATTTATTTAATGTTGTCTGTAAATTAAGAGGTAGAATATGTATGATTCTCATAGTCAACATAATGGAACGATGAATTTTATCATATTGTTATATTTAATTTTATAGAAAGTATTTAATTTTTCTTTTCAAATTATTGCTCCAATTGTTAATATCATGATAAAATATTACTCTAATTGTTCATTTTATAATTTTAGATTTTTTAAATATCGATAGTTGACTTTTAAATTGATAAATATATAGTATATGTTTTAATAATGTTTGTTTTAATATTGTAATAACAGTTATTAATTAATAATAGAATTAATTTTAAGAAAAATCTATATTACATATTATAAATAAGATATAATTAAAATTTGGAAATTAATGCGAATTTATAACGTCAAACTATCAAATAAAATTCATCAGATTATAAAATTTGTTTACGCATTTATGCATCCACATACATATCTATATATATTTCTCTTTTATAAGAAAACGTTTTTAAATTTGACTTAGTAAATGATGTGAACTATAGATAGGACAAAACATTTTTATTTACAATTTACTTGATTTTTTTTCAAAGTTTTCAACTTCAAGTTGTTTGAAAATTATATTGAAATATCAATTTAAAATAAAACTGCTGCGTTATTAATCAAGTTTGCAACAATATGGTTGGTAATATTTCACATTTTAAATATATTAAAATTTACAAGTAAATTATATAGGCTTTAATTATATAGGGTTTAATAAATCAATTTATTTATATTTTTTTTTAATAATAATATATATTTTTACTTAACAGACTATTTTCAGACAACTTCAACCACCAAAAATGTTATTACGATTGTACTCTTTGATTGTACTTACTCTAGATCTCATCACACTACTAGTCAGAATTTGGCTTGCAATTATCTTGGCACTTTACCGAACTTTCAAACCACCAGCTTTAAAAAGTGTTCATGGAGAAGTAGCAATAGTAAAAAGCCATTTATTTTTAATTGTTTTTATTTAAAATTTTCATTTAAATATCTACATAAACGCAATATATTAATTATAAGTAAAATGAGATATTTCACTATATATACATATTATAATGTTAATAAAATTTTAAAAACACAAAGAATACACAATATTGTTACAACTAAATTTACAATTTGCATATATTCTATAAGTTTATGTTCATAAAATGAATAATAATTTCATGTATATTTAGTCGACTTTATAAAATAATATAACATTTAGTCGTTACTTTGAAAATTTACAAACATATTTTTTGACTACGATTAAAAGTTTAATCATATTTATAAATTTATAAAAAAAATTCAAACTCTTCTAGGTTATTGGTGCTGGACGTGGCGTTGGTAGAGAAATAGCTATTCAACTTGCCCAACTTGGAGTGCACGTAGCTTGTGTAGATAAAAATGTGGAAAATTGTCAAGCGACGGTAAATAAAGCAATTGGTGTTGCAAAGTGTTATACATGCGATGTAACTAATGAACGTCAAGTGATAGATACTGTGATGAGTGTTAATATAGAATTAGGAGAAGTGACAATGCTTTTGCATTGCTGTGGAGTTCCAAGTCCTAGAGCTTTAGCTGAAAATCCTATAAAAATTCGAAGCACAATTGATATTGCTATTCTTAGTCATTTTTGGGTAAGCATTATAATACATGAAATAAAAAATGTACAGATATAAAAATAAAACGAGAAAGACAATTTATTTATTAAAGACTATATATATATATATATATATATATATATATATATGTACTTTTTAATGTACAGAGAAAATTCATTATTACAATTTTTTTCATTACATTTTCGCATATTATGCGAAAAAATTATTTTAATTCCATAGAAATAAATATCTTTTAAAAGTATTTCTTGAAAAATGTTATAATCTGAATTCAAAATTCATAATTGAGAGAAAAGTTTTGATGAAAAAATTGTATTAAAATTATTTGAATAAACTAGTTAATCTTATGGATTTCTAGTTTTAGGCATATTGATCGTATGAAATTTAAGTATAAAACATTAAAAAATAATCTGTAAACTTTTTACTCAGCTTTTAGATTCAGTTCTTCCAGGAATGCAGAAACTTAAAAAAGGACATATTGTTGTTTTATCATCAGTGGCTGGTTTATCCGGGGGAACAAGTCGAGAAACACGTTTAACTTTATCGACTGCTCAATTTGCAGTGCAAGGATTTGCCGAAGCATTACATACTGAATTGAGACAATCTAATAGTAATATAATGATAAGTTTAGTTCACGTATATCCATTTATTATAGGAGCTGAAGTTGCTAAGGATATTAGATTTAGGTACATTAATCATTTAACTTTATATTAATTTCAACGCATTCATATTATTTATAAATTGTACTTGACGTAGAATACCAAGCTATTTTGGAACTATGCCTGCAAACGAAGCTGCAAAAAGAATTCTAGATGGAGTTCGCAGAAATTATACTGAATTTAGTGTACCTGGACATCTTTTGTATTTAGGACATATTTTAAGGTGAATCGATTATCTTATTTATTTACGTTTTATGCTCATAAAGACAAGGTAGGATTAAACATTTTCTCTTTTCATTCTAGCACAATTTAATAGCTTACCATTAATAATATTTATTAATAATATTATTAATAATATAATTAATAAATTTAATAATAGATTCATTAAAAACATTAGGAATCAATAGATTTTAATATATTGCTTTTTTTTTTATTTAATAGAAATTAATTTTTTTTTTTCAGAATTTTGCCAAAGAAAGCATCTTTCATGTTACGAGATTTGCTCGATACTGGTGTTGACTTTGCATGACCTAAGAGTCCCAACTTGTTTCTCAAGTTAGACAATAAATCCAAATTTGATTTCACTACGTATGCATATATTATTTTTTAGTAAGTATGGGATAAAAATTTATTTTACTTCCAGCATTAAATTTCTATTCTCTATAATCATAATAATTAATTTATGACGATTTCGATTAATTATTTCGATAAATTAAACAAATTTCACATTTAATTTATAAAATTATATTGTTCATTATTTATATTTATGATTCATCATTGAAATAGCACATTATTTACAATATATATTAAAAAAAATGAGTATAATAATTTTTTATAGTGATTTATATGTTTTTCTTTTAGAAATGACGGTGTTGTAAATTAATATTTATTCTTTCAATCAAAGAAATAAATGTTTCTTTATACATTCTACACATTTAAATATCAGAAAACAAAACAAAATTATAAATAATCAAATGATAAAAGATTTCACGGTGTTAAAAACAAGCCAGTATACTTTTTTAAGTTTGTAATTTACAATAAAAAAATATACTTCGTTAATCTAAACCAGGTGGTGCTGGTTCTAAATTCTCAAAATCAGCTGAATCTTGTCGTTCTATTGGAAAATCACCAGGGGGAGCCTAGAATATAGAGAATTTATACAGTTTTCTAAATAAAACAAGAAAAGTAAAAGAATAAATAATAATTAAAATAATAACTCACAATATCAAAATCATCGTGCATTAGAATTGGTGGTTTTCCTTTAATCACATCCATAATTGATTGAGGGATATGTGCTTTCTGAAAAAAATTTTAAATGTTAATTATTAAATTTAATATATTATCTAAAGTACGAATGTATATTTTATTTTAAATTTTAATAATAAGAAAAAGAGAATAGTCAAGATACGAATGTTTGAGTTTGAAATATTTTGTATAGATGTTATTCAATAAATGCTTATAATGTAAATATTTGTATATTTATTTCGCTGACTGTGTAATATAGAATATAATTAATTATTTGTATTTACTTGATTGTCAGCAAAAGATTCTACATGTGAAACAAGTGGCCCTCGAATATTTGGTGCCATTTTAAGTGCTTCGATGAGCTGCGCAGGAGGTAATTGAAGTATGACTGCAAAACTCTGTGGTTGAGTTCTCTCGCAACATTTAACAAAACCTTCCCAAACTTTTGGCTGCTTCCAAACTTGTTTAAGTATTAAACGTTGCAAGATATTCATGACGAATCCACTTAAACGTGGATAAAGAGACAAACTTTGTATGACAGTACGCATTAATAATGTAGGCAACGGAGTCATATCCATAAGCTGTTGCATCACCACAGCCACAATTTCTTGGGTAAATATTTGTTTTTCAGCAAAACAAAGAGATGTCGCTAAAATACAATTATAAAATTATTAAATTATACATTGTCGCTGTCCTTAGTCTTTCTAATCCCGTTTGCGTAAATACATCAATTCGTCTACGGACAAATGAACATGGCATATTTTAATGAAACAATTGGGGGGAAAATAAAAGTAATAATTTTATAAATAAGAATATAATAAATATTCGATAGAATAAATTTTTTAAACCTTTTATGACAGTCTTAAGCTCTGCTTTACTCGATTCTATATTGTGTAAAGCAATCAAAAGTTCTGCTGGAGTAACTGGTGATGTATGAGGTATTCCGCTATCATTATTGTGTGTCATAAGTAATTTATTGAACACTTCCTTTACAACAATGGGATTCAATTTTATAAGTTTTGGTAACGCTGCGATAACTTCTTTTTTTGATAAGCCATTGAGAACAGGAATTAAAAATCGAACATCCGAGACTCTTGTTTGATACAATTCACGAACCCTCGCAACCAATTCTGCACTTGGAGGAGCTAAAATGAATTTCAGGTATAATTTAATATAAAAATTGTATACAATTTAAACATTACATACATATTTCATTATAATTAATTGAACTTTTCAATTTTCAAATAAATATATATCCGTAAATATATCTATAGTATTTAGAAAAGACGCTGAGAGTAATGAAGACAAGCTTGAAAAATATTTAAAAATAAAACGATTTAAAAATACTACAATTTCTATAATGTTAATTGTATTGCATCGCTACCGGCATTACGACAGCTTAAAGAAATTAGCAACATTAAATTCTACTAAAAAGAAAAGGATGTTATTTAATAATATTATTCATCTAATAAAAGAAGGCATGCATGCAATTGGAATCATGTCATTGCTAATTAAGTATCAATAGATATAACAATCTAATGAGATATCGCAAATAAGGTATATAAAATTAATGTGAAAAGAGGTTTGTTTTAAAAGAATTTCCACTATTAAATAAGGAGCGCACTTACCTTTCTCCGTGAGAATATGAATGATTCTCGTGATAAGGGTTTCGGCACCTTTAGGACAATTCTCGACAAGTTCGAGCAACTGAGGACTGGCCATACCGAGAGTGCGCACGGGGCTTTCGACGAGCCTCAACACGATCCTTTTAACGTCGGCGCTCATGGATGTGTAAACGCGCGCAAGCTCATGGATAAGAATATGATGTTCGGTAAGGAGTGCGAGATAAAGACTAAGGCAAGCGCGTGTCGTTGACTCGGTCCAGTTATCTTCAATTTGAGGTCTTCCCCGATCTTGTCCAAATACAATTTCAGGGGGACTAGGCAGTCGCAAAAAGCCCAGATACAATACTGCATACTCTTCGATGAGCTTGCAAAGTTCCGATCTTCCGTAGAGCTGAACCACCAGCTGGATTGCATTCTCGCGTATCTGAGAATAAAACAGGAATTGACAAATTATAGTTGTTTGAAAAGTCCTTAAAATACATTCGAATTTTTAACTTAACAGTAACAGCACACCCGTTGCAACAACCGTTGCAATAATAAATACCGTTGTATTATATATGAAAATATGAAAATGTATTCACATTAAAGGTCACTTTATATTAAATTTGATTTTATTCCAAAATAGCGTGGATCTTATGTTAAAAATGACATGAAATATTTGTAAAATTCATTCCCATTAAATTGATACAAAGTCGTATCCAGTGATTATTTTTTTAATTTCATACTCTCGAAGATAATTTATAAAGAGTATTAAAGAAAAAAAAAAAAGAAAAAAAACTAACAAAATATCCAAGTGAATGATAATAATTATTCAAATTTAATAATAATAAAATAAAAAAAAAAAAAAAACTACAGACAATACGACGAATATATGATATGAAATTATTTTAATAAATTTTCTAACCTTGAAAATTTCTAAGTCTAATATTCTAATTCCAAGGACATCTTATAGATTTAAAAATAATTACTTTACAAGACTTTGAATAAATCTTTAGTCTTTAAATTATACTTCTCTAAGCTTTTCTTCTTTATTTAAAACAATGTTGCCAGTTGAATTCTTATTTAGCAATTTATTGTTAAGTTCTTTTAAATATTTACCATAGGAATTTGGAATTCAGCAAAGTCAATAATAATATAAGCCAATAATAAAAGATAATTAATTCATTTAACGTAGAAACGATATAAATAATATCCTAAAAACTCTCCATTATCGCGTTGAACAGCGTGCGCTGAATTCAAATGTGTCTCTTATTACTCGTCATTGATAAATTAAACAATTAATTTATTATAAACTTACCATACTGTTCTCGTGTCCAGTATGACAAAGCAATACATTAAGAAAGATAAGCTGTTTAGTTGGCCTCCTTACGACTAGCTCTTTTAGCAGCTGCAGAGGCGCAAGACCCCTGGACTCCTCGGATGACACCGTCTTAAGGGCCTCGACTGCATCCTCGGTTATGAGAGGCGCTTCAAGGTAGAGCCGTGCCAATAAGCCATCGCGATCCTTACCAGGTATCGTGTCAATTGCTGAGACGAGGGTGCATAACAAGAAGTTGTAAGCTTGGTGGGGCGCTTCCGTTGGCTTTGAGCATAGTATTGTACGACGCTGGAAACCCTGTAACAGCGCGTACTCCTCGTACAGCCAACAAAGTGCCAACTCTAGACGCGTACGCATATCCTCGGTTATGTGACGCAGGATGGCTTCTTTCACATAAGGATTGAATGTTGCCGCTAAAGTCGTTAGAATCTTCATCCTGTAAAGAAATTGATGTAGAGTTAGTGCTTATTTTTTATTTGCTTATTTCCCTTTGGCTCTTTGCGAATTAATTAAATAGAGTTGATGAGTATTTTTTATTTTTTATTTTTTATTTTTTTTTTATTTTTTCGTTTAATTGCACCGGCAGAGTCCTTACAAAGATTAATAATCAGGTAGCAACAGTATGAAAATAAAATGTTATTACCATTAGCAAAATATAGGAATATTAAAATGTTTTCTACAATTTTTTATTTTACAAACGCATTTTTGTATGGAGAAGATAATTAGTTTCTCATCCTCGTAATTTTGTAGCCATATTGAGAAAAACTTTGCATCTTTCGCAATTGCCTCGCATGAACTATATAAATAATCTTTACCTGGTATTGGAAACACCACCGAGTATTCCACTCTTTTCAGTCGCTAGAATTCTATTTACAGCCATAAGTAACATTTTATCCCTGGCATCTTTCAGAAGTGGTTTAGTCACTTCCGAAAGCTTTAGAGACTTTAAACGACTTCGAGCCTTGGCTAATGACTTCTCATGTGCCTCCAAGGAAGCTTTCGCTTGCTGTTCCTTTTCTCGATCTTTTTCGCGTTTCCTTTCCCTTTTAACCTCTGCAACGGTAATACTAGGATTTTTAATTAAATCTTCCATAACAATGTCAACCTCCTTTGAGTCACTCTTGATTTTCTTTGCCTTTGCTTGCTTTATTTGAACGGCTAACAATTTCCCAATAACTTGACGTTGTTTTGTAATATCCGTTGTGGCTGTTGGTTGGTATTCCCTTTGGAATATCGATGTCATTGTATCTGGCACCCATGCCTGAAGTGACATTTTTACAAATCTCAATTTCAATATTGAAAGTTAAATTATGGTTAATGATAGGTAATCTGATTATTAAAAAATATATACAAAGCATGATGCATTGCAAAATCAGCTTTAATGAAATTATTCAATTATGACGACTGTCTTAAATCAAAATACATCAAAATGTCATTTTTAATATTGACTAAGTATTTATAAATTCTTACCATACTATCCATTACTAATTCGGTGGCAATCTCAACGCTCAATCTTTCAGATATAAAAGTATCCGAAAGTTCAATTAAATCTGGCAACTTTGGCGGAGGGACGGGTAGTGGTACTGCTTCAGATTCCTCCGCTGACATAACAGGAATTTCAATTCTTGCCTTTTTGGCAGCTATAGCTGCAGCCACATTCTCTTGCTGTCGTTTCTTCACTTTCTTTATATCTTCTGGTTTTGGAAAGTATTTTAGGATTTCAGTTTCTTTACAGCCAAGTTGCGTAAGTTGTCTGGCAAGTGGCTGAGCATACTCGATACTAGCTGGATGCTTTAATAGGCTAAATAAAGTTAACTTCAATTGTTTCTGAACACTTGTTACTTGAGAGTCGGACAAAGTTGGTGGTAGATCGCTTTGCAACCTTTGCATCGCTTGGATGACATTGGGCATAAATTGGGGTCTCATTTTTGCAATAAGAGATAAAGATCCCATGCACGTAATTAAATTAACACTGCTTACGTGTGGCGAACCATAAAACTTTATTAACAGATCCATTACATGATTCGCTTCTTCTTCCAATTTTCTTCTGCGAGCTATTTTTAACGTTAACGGCACATCTTCTAAAGAAAAGTCATCTGGCTTCTTTGGCGAATCTGGATCCGGATAAGTTTGAATTAAAACAACTCCTTCGAGAAACTTTAGGGCCTGCGTTCTTATACTGTAAAAACATAAGACGAACATTTGATTCGAAATATAAAATTTAAATAATACAATTTTACTATACTAGTTAGTATTAATTATGATTAATACCCGTCGTTATCGCTATCAATCATATTTATAATTTGAATCTTTAAACCGCTAATTTGTGCCCATGCATTTTCCATATCTGGTGTGACTATCGGTGCGCTCGCTGCCCATTTTAGAGTAGCCCTAAGAATCCTGCCACTGGCTCTTAAAGCTCGTTTAGCTACGACTGGTGTGGGATCGGTAATGAGTCTTATTAACACTAAAATAATTCTAGGAATGACTTCTGGCTTCTTCTCTCTGAAATAATAACAAACATTATATTGCTTATCAATGACCCACAAAATTACATTTTAATGAAATAAACAACTTTATACCCCAAATCCTCGATAAAGCCAGCAATAGTTTTTCTAACTTCAGCATTTCTATCGATAGCAAACTGCAACATTTCATCTAGATACATATTTAATAAAAGTGGTTCCTTATTCAATAGGATTTCTTGTGTTTTGCACAAGTTTTGTACTTTAACAGCTTCATTACCGCATATGGAAGCTTCGTTAAGCCATTCGACAACCTAGCAAAACATTGTCAACCACACATAAATATAATTAAATCTTATTTTTTTATCATTATCATGTAAAAATGGTCTTGTATACAACATCGAATATCATTCAGGTTATGCAATACTCACCATATCTCCGGCACTTTTCTCTGGCTCGACTCTTCGATGAATCCGAGGATCCATTTTTTCTATTAGTACTTATATTATAAAACTATTGGAACTCGTTCATTACAAAAAATAATGCAAATATAGCTTACAATTTTAACAGGAAACTATTTCGTACAAATTGATTGTTTAGTCATTGAATAATATTGAGTATGTTTTTAGCTAATACGATTCGGTAATTTTATTATTATTAATTACCAACAGATGGAGCACGTTCCAGCGCTAAGAATGAAAGTTAAAAAGAAAAATTAAAAAAAATTAAAAATTTAACGAGCAATAATGTTAATATCGAATAATATTACATATCACTAGCGGCTAATAGAATTAAGTATTTATAAATATTAATGATACATTTTGTATTCGCTCAAACGATAAACTTAATTGTGTCTGTTATAATAGAAATTTATCTGCCGAAGAAATGCCCCTATACTCTCGTATTTTTTTTTAATTTTATGACAGAAAAATTTAATTACATAATATAATAGCAATTATGTTTTTCATATATATTTTTCTCGATCTTACATGTCGATATTAAATATTTGCAGTCTTAATAAATATATCGTAAATTACATACGAAAGGCTACGATGCTGTGATTCCATAAGAAAAAGTTTTAATTCATCAGATTTCCAAGTGCGCATATGTGAAAGATGGGAGCCTCCAAATGCTTTGATAATTATCTAAGAAATTTCATGTTAATATATTACATTACCATTATGATGTATTATTAAACAAGTATAAGGAAATAAAAGAATAAATAACGAATAAGAATTTACAAGCTAATGTATAATTACAAGTGTTATTAATATAGATTTATATATACTTTACAATAGGTCGTAAATAATAATTATCAAATCGTGAATATTTAGTTTAATATTGTTTCCTCGAATAATTTAATTAAATGTTTTTGATATCTTTTAAATCAATGTTTGTAATTTGATTTGAAAATTTACGATGATTTTCCGAAAGATTTCTCAATATTTAATACCTGTGTTATATATTATTTGAACAATAACTTTATCATTCACACTGTTCATAATTGTAATAATGTAACAACATATTCAAAGCATTAAAGATTCTAAAGAATTTCAATTCAATACTTTGATACATATAATTATTCTTGATATTTACAATTTTGTTCCTCTTCTTTTCTTTACCTTTCTGTTTCTATCTCTCTCCCCCCCCCCCCTTCACCGCCCGCCCCTTTTTTTTTCTATCAAATTTATCAAATTAGGATTGATTAATAATGAAAACATAAGGAATGTAATATGGCATTTAGTAGTAGAAAGGCCGATGTTTAATGAAATTCTTAGCTATTTCTCTTTCGGCGGCAATTCAAGTTGATCGATATAAATCTCGCAAGCTCGACAATTCATGTATTCTGATTGATATGATATTTTGATAACGACGAGGGAGATTAAGAATCTTAACTTATATATTGCACTGTTGCATCGCATACGTCATAAATAAAAAAAAAAATTTCATTTCGCAGGGATAAAAAAAATTTTTCCAATCGTATGATTCATGTATAATCTTTAAAAGCGGATTTGTCGTTGAAACAATAAGGAAGGTAGTACGTGACAAAGAACAACTCTAATATTATTCACTATTACTTTTACTGTCTTAACAAAGTGCGACTTTATCCTATCTCCATGAATAATACATAATCCTTTGAACTTGCACGTCTCTTCGTTCTCCGTATGTCAATTAAGCAATCTCATTTCTCATTTAATACATTTATTCTAATAATAACGATCTTTCTCTCCTCCTCCTCCCCCCCCTCCCCTTTTTTTAAAAACAAAAATTTTATTTATTTATTTTTTAATTTTTTTTATTATTTTTATTATTTTATTTATTTATTTATTTTTCCCAGCAGACCGTTTAAGGTTAGAAAAACATGATTTCTACTTTTTATGAAAAAATTGTTGGAACCTCACCACCTCCCGAACCAAGTGAACCAAAAGTTCTTTGCGTTGGATTGAGCTGTCTTGACATTGTGCAATTGTGTAAACATTATCCCCAAGAAGATTCAGATCAGAGGTATATTTTTTACTAAAAACAGAAACTCGGTGAGAATAAATACTTCTTCTACGTATAAAGTTTCGATTAAATATTATAAAAGATTTGTTATGATTTTCTTTTAATTCATAATTATTCATTATACAATTTTCTAGGAATTTTCATTATATTTATGGATATTGTTAGAAAATTAATGTAATTTAAAAAGTTAAAAAATATAATCCAAATAACGAATTTGAAATAATATTAGTTTCAAGTATTTCTCCTTACTTTCCATTTACTCCATTGCATGACATAACGAACATATATATATATTTGAACTTGTATTAATGTAATAAAAAAAAAGTTTTGAATATAAAGAATTCATAACAAATTATTACATTTAGTTTTATATATTTAAGTAAATTATACATTTTCTACATATTTACATTATTATTAATCACTTCTTGATATTTTTTAACTTAATTATAGTTGCAAAATTAATATTAATAATTGTACGTAGGTGTATTGACTTCAGATATCAAAGGGGAGGAAATGCTTGTAACAGTTGTACCGTTATGTCTCAACTCGGCCAACCGTGCGAATTTCTTGGAGTTTTAAGTAATGAACAATTTTCTCAATTTCTGCAAGACGATATGCGTAAATATAAAATTGATTTTTTGCACTGCCCAATAATGGAAAATGGTGGATGCCCGACATCTGTTGTGATATTGAGTATGAGTACAGGATCGCGTACTATTATACATCATGATCAAAATCAGACCGAAATAACTTTATCAGATTTTGAAAAACTTAATTTAGAAAATTACAGTTGGATACACTTTGAGGTGAGGAAAAATGCCAAGTTTAAAAAATTATTTCTCTATTACATATCGATTTGAAATTCCATTAAATGTGTTTATACGTAGGGAAGAAATATTTCCGAAGTTCTATTAATGATGCAGCACATTGAAAATTACAATAAATCTGTAACGCAAAGGGATAGCGAAACCAATGAAAAGTTAAGCCGATATACTCCAATAACAATTAGCGTAGAATTAGAAAAGAAGAGGCCTGAACTTTTAGATTTATTGCCCTATGCGGATGTTGCATTTATATCTAAAGACTTTGCTAAAAGTAGAGGATATCTTAATATGAGTGAAACATTAAAAAATGTGAGTCATGATGCTAAAACAGGGTAAGAGTTTGTCCCTTTATGTCAATTTACATTATTATAAAATATGTTTTAAGTATTCAAAAATTGTTTTGTCATTACATTACATGTACCGAGCGATTGAACGGAAATTCTATTCTGTAAAGAAACTCGAAATCCAAAAATATTTCTTTACGTTATTAAATATGAATTATATGAATTTTATTCATTTTAGAGCAACCATATTTAGTGCCTGGGCAGATAGAGGAGCCATGGCTCTTGCTCCTGATGGAACTATCGTACAATGTCCCGCTTTTCCACCACATAAGATCATTGATACACTTGGTGCCGGCGATACTTTTAATGCTGCAATATTATATTATTTGAATAAGGAAAAATTGGCTTTTAAAAAGGATTATAGTAGCAATGCCAGTGATTCTATAAAAATGACAATTCAACAGAACTATAATATTGAAAGTTCTGAAAAGTGTCAGACTGAATTTATCGATCAAGCGGTCCTTCAAGAAGCCATTACCTTTGGTTGTCGATTAACTGGTGCTAAAATTGGACTTCAAGGTTTTGATGGCTTAAGCTCAATTTATAAAAATTACTTATGATAATTTCATTACTATTTAAATTTTTTATAATTTTATTTTTCTTAAAAATTTTGTATAAAATTTGAATGTTGTTGAAATAAGTACTTTTTTTGCTTATTATTTATTTTTTTTTTTTTTTATTAATATCGATTAGCTTTACTATTATTATGCAAAGACATGCAAAGATGTTTAAAGGAGCTTTCATTTTGACATCATAAAATATAGCAATTATTTTAAAAACTGATTATTTTGTCGATATATCTTCTTTTTATCACATATTTTACTCATTACATCAATCATCGACACGCGATATCAAGTGATAATATAGATAATTAAGTTTTGAGAAAAAAAAAACACTTAATATTTCTGTATATTATGTACAAATGTTATATAAGCAAAATTGACAAAATTATAAAGCACAAAACGTATTGCATTTACACTAATCAATAACATTAGTCAAAGTATACATAAAAGTGATAGAGTTAGTTCAATTCCTGATTAGAATATACGATGAAATTTATAAAATAATCAATGATCATGGATTTAAAATAAAGCAAGATATCTAAAACAATCAGAGTTGTACAATGTAATATTTAAATATGAAAAATGATTTTTTCTTGATATATTAATTACATGCTAGATACATAAAATCAACTATATAAATGATTATATTTCATTTGTTATGAATGTAATTTTTCTAATCAGGGACAAAACTTTTACATAAGATCAATACTTATTTCATTACGATGCTTTATTAATGAAGAGGATGAATTACGATAGAAAATACTTGTCACTTTATTATATGACCATTTGTAATACGCAAAATAGATAATATTAATTAACACATGCGTAAGCACATGCACGTGTTAAATTTCACTTATCAATCGATTAAAAAAAAAAAAGAAGTTCCATTTAATGGTTAACAATTTCATTTAATAGCTCTCATCACGATATCAAATAGTTATGTATTTCTTATCGACGATGACAATATTCTTGTGTTTCAGTCTTGAGAAACATGATTTCTTCTACAGTGTCTTTCGTTGATTTTTATTTATAAAACATATCTCGCTGATACTATTAAAAACGATTAATTTTTGTACGTTGTATTATGAAGATGAAATTTCAACTCCTATATGAAACAATTCATCCACATCAATCGTCAGCAGCTACTCCGCTATCCAGAAAATCTTTAAATGCAAGAGGTGCTTTATCCGGCAGATTTCTATAAATAGAAATATTTGTTGTAGTAATTTGTTTTTATAATTTATGTCGTAGAAAATATGAAGATCTTTTATAGTTTATAAGAAGGATAAAAATACATCACTGTATATATCATAAAAAAAAAAAAAAAAAAAAAAAAAAAAAAAAATATACATATACATAAAAAACTATATAAAAAACTATATATATATATATATATATATATATAGTGATTTATTTTTATATATAAATGTATGAAAGCATGTGCGTATAAATATTTTTTTCATTCGTATTATTACATGCTAGTATAGTGATATTTTTATTGTTATTACGCTGTAATTGATCACGTATTTGTAAATTTTTATTTTATAAATTTTAAATACTCGTTAGATTAAGAAATTTGTTTAATTACCGTTTACTTTCGTTAACAATAATAATAATAATAATAATAATTGAAGTTCAATTTTCATTTATATAATTAATTGCTATAAATATTTTCTCTTCTAAAATTTTTTATTCTATTTATTTTAATTTTATAATGTATTAAAACGTCCATTCCATATTTAATTATATATTATATTATCATATTTTTAGATTTTGTAAACGTATGTATAATTAACAACAACAAAAAATTGATTAATAATTTGGAAAATATTTATTGTATATTTTGTAACAAGCTTGTTAAAATACCACTATAAACTAATGGTATTTTATTGTAAAACTATTTAAATTTAGTTATAAATTGTTATATATGTATAGTATATATAAGTTTCAAGTTAAAAAGTAAAAGTGGAGAGCTACTCTATATAATATAAATAATCGTTATTAATACTGAGTTTTAAAATTGTAAATAAAATTCTGTACGTATAAATATAAAATTCAAATTAACTAATTTATATTAACTAATCATTTATAATTAATGTTATTTAAAAATGAAACCATGTAATATTACTGAATCATTCTAGTCTACTGACTTAAGCATTATTATTTAAATTATTTAATTAATAAAAGATAATACTATTAGATATTAATTTAAATAATGTAATTTTAATGCAAACCTAAGAAAATCGTTAATACCCAACCAGTAATTAGGAATAGATTGTACTGATTTATTTTTTCGTTGAGCTGTAACAATTTGAGCAGCTGCTTCTTTTGGCGAAATCACAGCCATGAGGCTTGGAAACCTGAAAATATGGAAATATAAACATTAATAATTATCCATATAAGACAAACATAAAACAACTAATTACATCACAACAAATAGTAGATTTTATAAAAAATGTAAGTCGCACCTTGCGTCCAACATTCCAATCTGCTTGTGAAAAATAAAATTGTTAATTTATTAACACCCAAATATATAAATCAAACAATATATATATATATATATATATTGTAATAGCTTAATCATACATTATTTAAGATTAGATATACAAAATAATATATAAATATAATCATCAATTTACGCATAATTTTTTAAAAAGATGTATTAAAATATACTCACTTAATCTTTGGTTTTTTGCAAAGTCCAGTATCTACCATATAAGGAAAAATTGTAGTGAACTTTATATTTGAATTTCTTCCTCCTGCTGAGCAAGAAATTCTAAGTTCCTCACTCAGAGCTTCCATCATACCTTTAAAAAGTTAATTTAATTTAATTTCTTAGATAACGTAATTATTTGTTGTAATCTTAAGTAATTCTGAAATTAAAATATTTTTATTTATATATTAATTTTCAATGAAATTAAACCTCATAACTTCAGTGTATACAGATTTATTATTATTATTATTATTATTATTTTTTTTTAATTTTTTTATTTTTTTAACTAAAGCTATTTTTACTTTTTACGTACTACGTGTACGTATCGAAAAGCATATTTAATAACCTTTGTAAATATCTACTAATTGAAAAAATCGATTAACATTTATTTATATATTGTTAAAGCATATTTTATTAAAAATTCTAAAGTATAATGTAAGGCGGCTGCATGTAGTACAGCAACACATCTATGAACACACTATGATACTTTATAGTAGACATATTACCAAGGCTTCATGATGTCATAAGTTAAATACTTTAATTACCTCTAACAGCAAATTTCGTTGCACAATACGGCACCAAATTGGTTAAACCTATAATTCCAGCCATTGAGGATAGAGCAACAACGTGCCCATGATTGTTAGCCAACATATCAGGCAAAAATGCTTGCAATATCTATCAAAAAGCAAACATTTTTAACGGCATTTATTATAATATGTTAGAATCATGTTAATTAAATTAAATAATTTAGATTTTAAATAAATAAATAAATAAATAATTATTATTATATGATTAATTAAATTATTAATCATCATTAAATAAAATATGTTTATATTTATGCTCTGATAAAATGCATTGGAAACTTTTATACTTAAATAAATTATGAACGTATTCAAGATAAAATTAATTTCTTAAACGTATTTTAGGATTACAATTATTTTTTATATAAGTTAATTAATATGAATATTAGTAAATTTTATCAAAATAAACATAATTATATCTGTTGTGCATATTATAATAGAGCTTAAGAATTTTTTTTTTTTATGAAATATTGATAAAGAAATAAGTAAATATTATTTATTACGATTGTCATTTATTATGTTTAGAAACATTTTCATTAAATCTAACGAATTTTCTGTAAAAAAAAAAAAAAAAAAAAAAAAAAAAAAAAAACAAAAAATCCGCGACTCATTATATTTCTAAATATATATCTCATCTGTAATACGAAACTAAAAATACTTAACAAGTTTACTTGGACATTAACGAAAAATACAAACATATCATACATATAATATAAATTTTTTTATTACCAATTAATACTACACTTATATCTATTATGTTTTTGTATATAATTTAGAGTACTTTTGGTAATTTTTATTATATGAATACAAAAATATTATTTCAAATGTTATGGAAGGATGTAGTTTCGAAACTTTTCAATATTTCTATTTATATTTCCCAGTTAATTTCCGCTCATTCTCTTTTTATAAGAAATTAAACATCATAGAGTAATACATCGTATATTATAATTTTATTTGCATCCATTATTTTCTATTTTATTATATCAAAAGTTGAAGTTAATTTTTAAAAGTTAAAATTTTTTCAAACGTTTTATTAAACGATAGAGCTAACGATAGGCATTCTTGATCTTTAGGAGATCATTTAAAATTATTACTTTATCTAAAGTATCTGTTAATATACTATCTGCAAATGAGAAGAAATTAAGTTAACTTTTTTTATTATGTAAAACTTACCCATATGTGTGAGATAATGTTGATATTGAAAATTTTTTGAATATCTTCGGCGGTGTGATCGAGAAAAGGTCGACAGGGCATAATGCCAGCATTGTTAATAAGTATTGTCACGCTACCAACATCTTTCTTAACTTTCTCAGCCACTTGTATCACTTCCTCTCTATTCGAGACATCGCATCTGGACGAATTTGAAAAATAAATTAATGCGTGCATATTAAATCGGAGCCGAATTCATTTAATAAATAATTTTTTAATTATTTAATATTCTTTAATTTATTTAACATCGTAATTATTGTGTCTTATGAATAGAATGTACGAAGTAAAATCAGCTATTTCAATTTATAAAACATACTAATTATAAAATATTCTGCTACTGATGAAACACCGTATCGTCAATTTCTACAATAAAATTTGTCGTGACATTAGCTTAAAATACAATTAAAATTAGGTAATATAATTATTTTAAATTAAAAAATATCTATGTATAATATAATAATTCTTATAGATAATTTTATTAGTATAAATATCATAAATACAATTATTTATGAAAAAGTATACGAAATAATGCGACTCTATTCATCTACTTCCTACTCTTATTTTTTTCTCGTGACTTAAAAACCATATTAAAATTGAATAAAATAATAGAATGATTGAATGCATTGGATCATAATAGAAAAGATGTATAATAGGAAGAGACAAACCCTCGACAAAATAAAAGAAATTAATACTTAAATGTGTTCTATTAATTGGTAATTAAAATTGATATTCTGACAAGTAACTGACAAGGAAGCAGATTATTTAGACAATATACTTGCTACGATAATATCATTGAAAAGTAGTAAAAGTATTATTTATCTAAAGTCTAATATTTAAATATTGAATGCAATAACTAGTCAAATTATTATTATTATTATTATTATTATTATTATTATTATTATTATTATTATTATTATTATTATTATTATTATTATTTATCATGGGTGGTTAATAAATTGTTTTCAAGTATAATCGTCTTATTCGCATATTTTCATATTCGATGGCATAAATTAACATAAGAAAGAAAAATATTAGTATACAACTAAAACAATAAATGTAAGAAATATATATTTAAACAATATTAGAATAAGTGCATTAAAAATATAATGAATATTTATCAAAATTTTTTACACTTACATTTAATAAATATTTATTGATACTTCTTACACTAAAATATAATGAATATTTATCAATATTTCAGACACTTAAATACTTATGCATAATAAATGATATAATATATGAGTAAATATTCATTAATGAACATTTGAAGAATCGAGATTTAAGTCAGTAATAATATCTATATTAATTTATAATAAAAAAGTTGTTTATTATAGTAGCACGTTTTTTAATTTTATTTAAATCATATTTAATAATAGATTCGACTATGTTTAGGAGAAATTCTATTTTAAAGAGTCATATTTTAGTCATATTTTAAAGAATAAATTAACGCATAATTCGTATAATATAATAAATTTCCTACTCTTACAGTAAGACATATTTTTATTAAAATCAATAAGTTCTTATACTCTTATATATTTTTTACAATAACGTGATAAATACTTGCTTGTTAATATACTTTGTGATAAATATATTAATAAATATAAATTTTTTGCTCGTGTGTAAAGAAAAAATGTGACTGATGATTGATAAATCAATATTATTTTGTATTCATGTGTTTTGACGACTTTTTTTCTACGAAACTCTTTGAGAGCGAATGTTTTCAGCATTGACTAATAATAATAGAACATACCAAATCCTAAATAATAAAACATCGTTTAAAATATTTATTTACATTTCATATTTAAAATATAAAATTAGAATATTATTTTTGTTTAACTTAAAGAAATTAGCAATTAATTTATTTTCAATATTTAAAATCCTCGTTATGCATACATTTTTATATAAATAAATTAATTTATAATCATTCTCTAGATTACTTTTTATAACCGATATTTGTATAAAATAACCGATATTAGTAAAATACTTTGTAATAAATAATAAAGAGAGAAGACGTTTTAATTGAACATATTTCTTTCCATAAATAGAACAAAAAATAAAATATTATTGAGTTTGCTTAATTTATTTTCATTATAAGTTTTAATGGTTTTAATACGTTTAATCATAAATGTATTCATTTATGTTGACATAATTTATTTTGCCCTAAAACTCGTTTACATCGATACATCAGATTGCGCATGTGTGTGTGTGTGTGTGTGTGCGTGTGTGTGCGTGCGCGCGTGTGTGTGTGCGCGCGCGTGTGTGTTTATTTATCGTAGGAAAAGTAGGAAGAGCAACATAAATGTTAAGAAAAAAAATGATTTGTAATGATACATAAAAGATTTACTATAGAAAATAAAAATGATTGAAAATGTTTGTACGAGTGAAGTTAAAGAAGGCAATTATTATTAAAATTGTAAAGTTTAACAATAAAAATAAAACAAATATTTAATATTTCCAATATTTGTTACTTCTATTTATAATATTTAATATTATTAGTGCAGACAATGCGATGTATTTTAAGTCTTATAAAAAAATGTTTCTATTGCTTATTCAATTGATGATTTGAATGCTTGGAAACTTGAATGAAAGATTGAACGTAAGTTCAGCGCATGAAAGAGAATGTAAATAACATTCGCTGTTTATGAAAGGGATAAGAGGGAAGACACAGACAGAGTGAGAGAGAGTGAGAGAGAGAGAGAGAGAGAGAGAGAGAGAGAGATTGTAATAGAACAGCGAGAATAGAGAGAATAGAGTGGAGAGAGGGTTGGGCGGTAGGGAGAGAGGGAGCGAGTGTAACGAAGGTAACGTGGCTTAACTCACTTGTACGCGTGGGCGGTGGCGCCTCCCAAGTTGTTGATTTCGCTGATGGTCTCCTCGTTGTTGACGTCGTTGATATCCCAACAAACGACCGTGGCACCCAGACCTGCGTATTTTAAGGCCAGCTCCTTTCCAATGCCATGACCCGCTCCAGTAACCTGTTGTGTGCAACGAGGCACATGCAAAAAACCACACTCACTTTCTCGCTCGCTGGGTCGCACGGACTTATGCACGCGATTGTATACATTTTGTTATTTTACTATTATCGCGCTTTTCTTTCATTACTAAAGTCTATTATTCTCTGCAACTTTAATCTCAATTTGGCCGACGTTGGACAAATTAGGAACGTTGGAAGGCAAATGGAATTACGAAGTACAAGTGGCTCTGCTCTTTCAAAACCTCGCTTCAGAGTAATAGAGGATTTTCCATTTCCCAACAACTTTTCACAGGTTTTAGTTTATATGATTTGTATGCTTATAAGCTTATACATTTCAATAAGAATTTTGTCTATTTTACGAAATCACTTGTGCTTACACGGAATTTAATATTACACTATGTTAGTCTGTGTTAGTATCCATCAATTTTCGGATAACATTATGTTTAATTCATAGCTTCGCATTGATGTTATTTATTTTATTTAATTCTCACTATCGTTCCCTTCGAACAAGATTACGTAATTTATATTTTTAACGAACCTAAGAATCTTGCACAAACGTAAAAGTCACTATTAACTAATATAAATTTTACCGCAATCCATTTTTTTCTAAACAATGAAATTTATATATAAGCTTATGCGATTAAAAATTATAATTAAAAAATTCATTAAAATTACTATTAATAAATTCGTTAAAATTATAAAATAAATAAATATGTGACGTAATTTGACATATTTTTATTCGAGAAAATTTCACATTTAATTGCTTCTTGATAATTGATTCTTGATACGATAAAGTATTATCGTGCAAAGTTTCTATCAAATCTATTTGTATGAAAATCTTAAAAAAAAAATTTTCAGGATAGAATCCTTTATAGAAATAAACGCTACTGGAGTAAATTGTAAAATTTCGTAAACGGTAATTTGCGTCTGAGAAAATAGAAAAACGACAATTTTTAAAAATTAAACTTGCACCAACTGTCGAATTAAACAATTTTTATTGACGCTACAAAGCGGTTGCAAGAAACAATCTACATTATTTATCTTGATATTGCACTTTTTTTTTTTTTTTTTTTTTTTGAACTATTGTAATTCTAATGTAATAAAAAATGTATGATACAAATAATAAATAGAGTTACTTAACAATCACGGCATATTTACTTAAGGGTTCGTTTTTCATCGAACTTCATTATTTACAAGCTTATTTACAAGAAGCGCAAGGAAAAACAAGCACAAGTCTTTACTACACTAGCAAATAATGATATGCATATAGGAAAATGATTAATAAATAATTTGATTGAGTTTCATGCACTGCAAGAAATATTCTCATAGGATGAGAGATAGGAAAGGCGCACCGACCCTTCCACCCGTCGCTCGCATCACAATCCTGAACATTACCTTTTCTATTGAATATGTCTAGTCTTTCTTACCAGTACGATTTCACCAGCCACACTCTTCTCGTCAACCGGAAAGAAGCATCGATATATACCTTCACAGATGAAATAGAGTATTTTCAATACGAGTAAGAGCACATCTGCTATTACTACAGCACCGCTGTATGCCTTCACCATGTCTCTGTCCTGCAATTTCGTGTTCATGTATTTTTGCTCGCAAAGCCCAACAAGGCATTATCGTTGCAAATTTATAGAATTTCATTAAAATATTAAGATATTTTAAATAATGTTTCTCTGCGAGGATATAATATGTAAGATCAAAGATCAACGATTGTAAATATCTTACATATTTATTTATTGCTACATAGTTTTTAAAACTATAAAACATACATCTTATAAACCCTATTGTTTAATACATTTCATATACATATACAAATATATATATATATATATATATATCGATTTACTATTCATGAGTCTATTTTTATTTATAAATTTAATATTACATCAATTTTTATAGTATAAAAATTAAATTTACTTCAGCGAATTTTGATTAAAAAAAAAAAAAAAAAAAAAAAAAA